TGAGACAACACTCAATCCACTGAGCCACAGTGGCTGGGCTACAATCTTCTCTTTTTAAATCAGTCTTCTACCCTTCACGATCTCATGGTGACTTTTTTTTCCCTAAGCAGCCGTGAAACTTCGTCTTCTGGACAGTCTTGGTTCATGGCGGTTGGTTTTCTTCGTCCGGGACTTTCTCTTCCTTAGTGACCTTCTGCAGGGCAGGGGGGGATGCCCTCTCCTTGCAGATGCCACCTTGTCTTTCCTCCAGGGGCAGTCTCGACCCCGTGACCACTTCATGACAAGACCCGTCGGCTTCCAGGGGAGGGGAGCGAGGCCCCCTGGTTCTTCAGTCCTAGTTCTTTTTTTTTTTTTTCCTCACCCGAGGATATTTTTTTTTCCATTTTTTGTGCAGAGTGGGAGGGAGAGAGAGGAAGGGAGAGAGAGAGAGAGAAACATCGACGTGAAGGGACACATCGAGTGGCTGCCACCCGCACGACCAACCAGGGCCGGGGACAAACTGCAACCGAAGTACGTGCCCTTAGCGGGAACCGAACCCGGGTCTCTCTGGACCGCAGGCGGATGCTCTAACCGCTGAGCCAAACTGGCCAGGGCCAGTCCTAGTTCTTTTCAAGTTCGAGTTCTAGTTTCAAGTTCAGGCCTCATACATCTTGGAGGAGACGTGGGCTAATGGACAAGCGATCCCAGAGCTTGGAGACCCAGCCGGACTCTTCCTGGCTGGGTGAGCCTTTCCAGTTCACGCACGTTCTTTGAGCCTCCGTCTCCTCATCTGCACAGCGAGGGGCACGATGTCTCAGAGTTGGTGCCAGTCCCTGGGCAACCCTGGCCGCGACGGTGCCCCCAGGCTGCACAGAGCTGTGTGTGCTGCGCCGCGGGGGAGGGGCACTGTGGGGGCTGCTGTCTTCGTTCCCCTAGACACCTGGCAGGACCCTCCTGTCCAGGAACGGGAGATGAGACCCTTTGTGAAGCCCCCAGTTTCAGGGTAGGCATGGGGTGAAGGTGCGGCGGGGTGACCTCAGCTACACTGCCCCCTTGATGTCTGTGGGTGAGTAAGTGCCCGCTGTGCCCGGGGGCGCCCGCCTGTTCCATCTCTGGCTTATGCAGAACGGAGGGCTGGGATTCTGTCGCTGTCCTGACTCCCACAGGGTCCCGTGAGCACGGAGCAGTAGGAACGGTAGTAGATGCCCGGGGACGCAGGCTGAATGAATGCGCGCGGATTATAAAGGAGGGAACAGACGCAGGAAATGCCTGAAGCGTTTGAGGGCTCGGCCACACCAGCGGGCAGAACCCAGCCCTACCTACCAGCAGGACATTTCGTGATGAGAGACATTGCTGCCACCCCTGGACAGGTGCCCACCCCCGACAGGTCTGTCTAAGCTGTGGGTGGATTACTCCAGGAAGCCGGAGCTGCTGGGGTGGGGGGGGAGGAGTCTTGTTTACCAATTTCTCTGCAATCGGAGGGAGTGGCAGGCTGGAGGCGAGGGAGGCAGGCCCAGGGCCTCGCCGGTGGCCCTGCCCCCCTCCCTCCCTCTGGGGTTTCTGGGCGGGCTCAGGCCAGCCTGGGATGAAAACACCCAGGTGACCCTTGGGGAGAATCTGGCATTTCCCCATCACACTTGGCTCAGCTGCCTTTCAGTGTCCGATACACCAGGCAGCTGGTCACAGGGGTTCAGCCTCGGTCACTGCTGGCCCTTCATTCCCAAACGTTTATCAGTCGCCTGTCCTGTGCCAGGCCTGTGCTGGGCCTGGGGCTGAGATGGGGAGACACGGCCCCCCTTCTCAGGGAACCAGACGGCAGCAGGGCACAAGCACTGCCTGGGAATGTGGGGTGCTCAGCAGAGGCGGGTGCTTTCCCGGGAGCAGGAAGGAAGGCGGGGGCGGGCCAGCGGGGAAACCTGGCGGCCTGTGTGTCCCCTGCTGTCCTGGGTTGGCCCAGGGGCTTTGGAAGGTTTGTTCCGGGTTCCTGAACCCTGCGTTTGGTCTCTTTTCCTCTTTTCCCCCATCTCCTCGGATCCCCTCGGCTTGGTCATGGCACGGGCTGGGGGTGAAGGACACTTGCTGCTGGTGGCTGCTGGCTCTCAGGGCACAGAGGGAAGAGGGGGCCCGGGGGCTGAGTGCTTCCACCCGAAATGGCCCCTCTCCCCAGCCCCCTGCCCTCGGCGGGGCCACCCCCAGTGGAGGCCTCACAGTGCCCTGCGCCCGTAGTTAGTTAAACAGGAGTTTGCGCGCCTGTTTGATAACCAGCTCCCTCTCCGACCACTCTCACCCCCTCTAGACGCGGAGGGGTCCTGGGGCGGGGCCCCTTCTGTTTTCCCTCGTCAGCAGGGGGGGCTAGAGGGCCCGAAGAGACGCACCGCCCACGGGGTGCAGTGGGTGAGCAGAGCCAGCGCCTGCCGCCCTGCCTGCTGGGGGCTGGGGGGCCTTTCCCGGGCCGCCCCACTGAGACCCAGGCCTGGTGGAGACCCTGGACCGGAGCTCGATGTGGGGGCTGCGTGACTACCCCACGGGCCCAGACCTCAGCCGTGGCCCGCCCCCTCCGGGCCTGCTGCCCCGGCCTCAGCATCCCCTCTCCCCACGCCCTACTTTCCTGCCCACGTGCGGCTCCCTCCGCCTGGAGCACCTGCCCACCTTCCGGCCTGGACACAGCCCTCACCTTTCAAGGTCCAGAGAAAGCGTTTTCTCTCCTGGGACACTCGCCAGCCACCCCGGAGAAATGCCTGCCTTTCCGGCGTGGGCACCTTGTGTCGCCTACGGTGTTAGACTTGTCGCCGTCTCAGCATCCTGTGCTCGAGGAGGTGTCCTACCTCTGAGTTCTGAGCACCCCCCAGGGCGGATCCTGCCCATCAGCCTTCGCCCCTCCAGCCACCTGGGATGGATTTACTTTGGGGTCATAGCGTCAAGCCCCCACCCCCAGACCTCCAGGAGGTGAGGGTCCTGGAGGACAGGCAGGGCCGTTTTCTTGCTTATCTCGCCCTCTTGGGTCTTTTCACCGCCCAGCCCTTGGTCTGCTGTCTAAGAGCCTAGGACAGCAGGCCCGAGTGGGCTCCTGGGCTCTGCCTCCATCTGAGGTGGCCCCTGCCCGAGGTCTGCATCAGCGGCAGGGCGGGGAGGGGGGGCGGGGAGGCTGGAAGTGACCTCGGGCACCTAGCACTCTACTCTGGTGGCTTTTGTGCACTGGGGTCTCCTGCAACGCGAGTCAGGGCCAGGATGCTGGTCACAGGGTCCTGCCTTCCCTCCAGGGCTCGGCGGCAGCCCAGGTGTCAGGGGCCACATTCCCCTGGGGACAGAGAGTGTCCAGACCTCTGCCCCGGGCGCACCCCATCTCCCGCTCTCACTTCACACCCAGTTGAATGGGCTCCAGGAAGGACCATTGTAAGGAAACAGCAACCAGGCCAGACTGTCCGAGGCGGGGCCTGTGGGTGTGGGAGGAGGCAGGGCGGGGAAGGAGGGGCTGAGGGCTGGGCCTGGGCATGAGTCGTCCCATCTTTTCCCAGCTGGGAGCTATGCCTGTCCCGCCTCATTAGAGAAAAATGACAGGGTAATTAATGACAGGTGGTTTCATGCCTCACTCAGGGGCCAGAGGCTTCCTGGATTCGGGCCATGTTGCTGCCTTGCCTTGGGGGCCCAGGCCTGACCCCCTACCACAGTGCGCCTACCTGGCCCCCCTCAGTCAGACAGCAAAGCCCAGCTCCCTCCCCGAGCGGCGAAGGCTCGGGGTGGCCACGGCCCTGGCCTGCCAGTCATCCGGAGCGCGCCCCTCTTCCGCCAGGTGTCCTCAGTTTGCACAGCGCTCCGAGGCGCACAGAGCTATGTGCTCACACTGTGAGCCCAGTCGGTCTTTCCACGGACACGGCGTGCATGGGTGCTGTGCCCACGATCCCTCTTTCACACCCAGAGAAAGTGAGTCCAGAGAGCGGGAAGTCTCCGGACTGACACGCTTACAGGGAGCCTGCACTTGACCTTGGATTCTGTAGCCAGGGCTCTGGTATCCGCCCTAACAACTACCCCTCCCGCATTGCTCCCCCAAGAGGCACCTGGGTGTCCTCAGGGCAGCTCACAGCTGCGACTGGTGCTGCTTCCTGTCTCCTGACCCCCAGGGGGAGTGGCTTCTCCGCACACGGGCTGGGCTTCTGGAAGCATCCTTGGATGGGGACATGGGCAGCTGGCGCTTCAGTCTTGGCTGGCTTGCGGAGTGGAGCAGGCAAAGCCCCCCCCCCCCCGTTTCTGAGCCTCTGCCACCCCAACACTGATTAGAGCATCCCCAGACTTTTCAGAGGAGCCCCATGGGATGTGCTTGGGCCAGGAGTCATTCGAGGGGCCCCAGTAAGTCAGCTCTTCCCTGCTGGACAGAATGCTTCCCCACCCCTTCCGGTCCCCATTTCCATGGTTGTCGGACAACTGCTGCACCTTGGCCAACGATCGGAGAAGGAAGATTCCCTGGGCCCCCTCAGACCCACCCTCTCTCCTCTCTCCCCTTGGCATCCTCAGCTTTGGGGTTCATTCTTTTTGCTTCAACACAGAGAGTCAGCTCAGGTGTTCAGAGGAGGAGAGAGAGGACAGGGCCAGAAAGGGACCAGAGGTCTCCGGACACCCTGCACTGTTCACAGGCAGCTCCCCGCTGCCTCCTTTCAGGAGAAAAGGATTCTGTTTCTCCAGGGAGGTGGCAAAGGCCACCGTGGTGTCAAAGCAGCCCCTCACTCCTGGAAATGTGCCAGCCTCCAGCCCACAGACCAGGAGACACGGCAACAGAGCCGGCGGGTTTAGGAAGGGAAAGTCAGAGAGCATGGCCGCGGCCTGTCTCAGCTTCCTCCGTCCTGGCGAGGGCTGTCGGGAGGGAGGGGGAGAGAGGGGAGCTGGGAGCTGGGACAGGCAGGTGTGACCACTTTTTAACCTGGAGGGTGTTACGAAATTCTTAGTGAATGGCCTCTTAGGCTGCCTGACAGGCTTTTTATAGGGAGACCCCCACCCCCAGTCTTCGGAGCAGGGGCCCCCACACTCACCATGCTGGCTGGAGGATCTTGGCTTCTTTATGGCCAGGAGATGAAGTCGGCAACCCAGATCGGGAGGAGGGCCTGCCGGGGCTCGGGCTGGTCAGCGGGCCAGAGACCCCCAGGCAGCATCGGCTGGAGGGGCCTAAGTGGAGAGCGGGCCTTGGTCCCTCGTGTCCAGCATCCTCTCCCCTTATGAGCTGGCCGCCACCGCTGTTGACTGGTGATTTGGGGACTGTGAGGCAGGTCGATAACAGGTGAAGTTGCCAAACTGGAATGATTCTGAGTCTCGTAACCTGACACCATCTCAGGGGCTGGAACGGCACCTGGAGTCATTCCTGGGCCCTTTGCCTCAGGACAGGGACACACCTAGGTGTTGCAAAAGCCTTCCCCACTGACTGCTACCCAGCCAGGTGTTGGACAGCGGCGATCAAGGCTGTCTCCTGGCTGCGTGGGTTCTCACCTGTGTGGTGACTTTGTTTGGGGTTGTGATAAATTGGAGGAGTTTGGGGGCTGGGACGATAGGATGAGAAACCCTAGCCCCCAGGTGCGACGCGGTCTTCGCAGGTTCCTACGTAGCGCACCGGCCAGCATCCCCGAGAGCGCCCGGCCCTCGCCTCACCTGTTCATGAACATTTGCAACATCCCAGCTAGTGCCGTGGCTCAGACCAGGTCTCCCCTCGTCACAGCGTCACTTCTGATACGCATCCTGCTGCGTCCCAAGGCCTGTGGGGGCAAGACCGTGGGGCCCCAGAAGCATGGAGCTGGAGGAGCCTGGGCAACTTCCTCTGTTCCCTTTGTGGGTGAGGAAGCCAGATTCTGGAAAGGCAGAGTCCGGTACCCAGATCACAGTTACTTAGTATCCGTATCTCCAGCTCTACCCTCCCGGCCATCAGCCCAGCGTAGACTTGCTACTGACCCTCCCACTGAAATGTGCTTCTGTGTCATCCCTCAGTTGTCACAACAATCCCACGAGGGATATTTTGTTTCCATCTGAGGTCCGCACCTGGTTCTCGGACAACTGTCAGCCGTGTGAAGAGGCTGAATATAACCGAGTGCTTGACAGTCCCCCTCGTGGTCTGGGGAGATGGCGTCCGTGGAAGACCCGGGTGACATCTGAGCAGGATCACTGTCCGGAGAGTGAACGGACCTGGCCAGGTCTCAGCTGCTCAGTGCACAGTGGCCTTGGTGTCTCAGCAGCAGCGATCTGGGGTCTGGGGGCTCTTGAACCAACATGGCCCCGGCCCTTCCCCGCTCCGGGGTGGCAGCTTTGGGAACTGGACGTTTTGGGCAGAGTCTAGTGCCCGTGATCTCAGATCAGGGGACTTGAGGGGACAGGCAAGCGCCCCCCAGGGTTGTATCTATTCGCTTGGCACTCGGGTGATGAACCAGGAAAGAGGTGCTGCCTGGGCAGGACCAGGCTGGGTGCGGCCAGCTGAAGGGTGATTACTCAGCCTTCCCGGCTCCAGCCCCGGCCCAGCTCCCAGGGGTCTGGCGCCCGAGGCCTGGGGAGGGTGCGGGCAGGGCCCTGTGGTGCTGGAGGGGGTGCGAGGTCTGTAGGTAGAGGGCTGGAGAGGGTGGAGGGCTGCTCCTCCCGGGGCCAGGGGGAGGGCCAGGGGGAGCCCCCGGAGGCAGCCTCAGCCACCCGCTGCCTGAGCCTTCTTCTCCCCCACCCATCTCTTCGGTTTCATTCTCCTGAGGCTCTTCCCTTCCACGCCTGTCTCATCTCTTCCCCTTCCTCCAATCCACTTCCTCTTCCTCTTGCTCCAGCGTGGGGACCAGATCAGAGGTCTGGCCGTGCAGCTGACAAACCCACCAGCCCCCTCCTGCACTGGCCTCCGACGCCAGGAAGGCCCCGTGATATGTTCACATATGTTTTTGCAGTATAGTTTGGGGGTATACTTTCTCTTTCCAAAGGGCCCCTCAAAATGTACAGCTCCAGGCCTCGCGAACCCCGGATGTGTCTGGTTGAGGAGCACGGGCTGTGAGAACCTGAGGCTTGTGTCCTGACCCCAAGACCGGCCGTTTCTGTGACTGTGGGCGTCTCATTGAATTCTCCGGAGCCACGCGGTCCTCTTTGTAAGACGGGGTCACAGCCGTGCTGGCCTCACAAGGCTGTCATGAGGATTAAGTGCAGTAATCTCTGTGAGTGGCGCCTGAAAGCCTCTACCGATGGAGCTGTCACCCCTATTCATTGCACCAAATGTGTCTTTAGGGAGCTCCCGCCAGAGCCGGCTCTGTGCCAGGCACTGGGATTAGGAAGGAGACACAGCCTGGCACCCACACCGCCCCGTCTGTGGGCAGGGACCCATGCGGCCACTAAATTACGAGAGGTAAAAAGAAAGTCTTTGGGGGTTCAGAGACCCTTTCTCATCTTCCAGTACCCTCTCTTCTCTTTCTTTTCTTCCTTCCTTCATTTCCCCTGATGGCATTTTTACTGAAATACATAATTTATAGGGCAGTACATTAATTGCAAGTTGTTTCTGAGTATACATTTGATCTTAATATCAGCAGCCATCCACCTGCCATCCACATGTGCCCGCCCCTCCACCCATCCACCTGCCCACCCATCCATCCACACACCCACCCATCCACCCACCCATCCACCTGCCCACCCACCCATCCATCCACACACCCACCCACCCATCCATCCACCCATCCACCTACCCATCCACACACCCACACACCCATCCATCCACACACCCACCCACACATCCATCCACCCACCCATCCATCCACCCACCCATCCATCCACACACCCATCCATCCACCCACCCACCCATCCATCCACACACCCATCCATCCACCCACCCACCCATTCATCCACACACCCATCCATCCACCCACCCACCCATCCATCCACACACCCACCCACCCATCCATCCACCCATCCATCCACCCACCCACCCATCCATCCACACACCCACCCACCCATCATACCACCCATTCATCCATCACCCACCCATCCACCCATCCCCCCACCCATCCTCCACCCCATCCATCCATCCATCCACCCATCCCCACCACCATCCACCCCCCATCCACCCACCCACCCCCCATCCATCCACCACCCATCCATCCACCCATCCACCACACCCACCCATCCACCCACCCACCCCCATCCCCCATCCACCACCACCACCCACCCATCCACCCACCACCACCCTCCACACCACCCACACCACCCACCACCATCCACCCATCCATCCCCCACACCCACCACCATCCACCACCCACCACCATCCACCACCACCACCACCCATCCACCACCCATCCATCCACACCACCCACCATCCATCCACCCATCACCACCACCACCCATCCCCATCCACCATCCAACCATCCCATCTCCATCCACCCACCCATCCATCCACACATCCACCCATCCATCCACACATCCACCCATCCATCCACCCACCCACCCATCCATCCACCCATTCTTCCATCCACCTGCCCACCCATCCATCCATTTATTCATCCATCCACTCACACATCCATCCATCCATCCACCTCCTCATCCATCCACACACCCACCCATCCACCCATCCACCACCCATCCATCATCCATCCAACCAATATTTTCTATGGTGTTATCAGGCCCTGTGGTTAGACACTGTGGTTGGAGAGAATAACTCTTGCCTTGGAGAGCTAGTCGGCCACATACTGCACTTCCCGGTTAAAGCGGGGGGCAGCCAGCTCTCTGGACACTTTCTGCTCAAGGCATGTCTATGGCAGCAGCGTTGGCATCACCGGGGAGCTTGTTACAAATGCAGAATCTCAGCTGCTCCCTCCATACCTCCTGAGTCAGAATCTGCTCTAGAAGATCCCAGGGTGATTTGTATACACCTTCAAGTTTGAGAATTACTGTTCTAGAATGAATTCAGTAAAGTTGCAAGATACAAGATAAATATCCAGGAGTAGATTGCATTGTTTTTTTTAATGTTCCTCACCCAAGAACATGTTTCTATTTATCTTCAGATGGAGTAGAGGGAGGAAGAGAGAGAGAGAAACATTGATGGGAGAGAGACACATTGATTGGTTGCCTTCCGTAGCATGCCAACCAGGGCTGGGGACGAACTGCAATCGAGGTATGTGCCCTTGACTGGAATCATACCTGAGACTCTTTGGTCCACAGGCCGACACTCTAACCGCTGAGCCAAACCGGCCAGAGTGATTGCATTTTCATACACCAATAATTAACTATCACCAAAGGAAACTAAGAAAACAGTCTCATTTAAAATTGCATTAAAAAAACAGAACAAAACAAAACACACACCTAAAAATAAATGTAACCGAGGATGTAAAAGACTTGTGCTCAGAAAATTATGACACCAAAGAAAGGATCTGAAGAAGATCCAAAGAAATGGAAGCATGTACTGTGCTCATGAACAGGAAGAATTAACATTGTTAAAATGTCCATACCCCCCCCAAATCTATAGATTCAATGCAATTCCTATCAAAACACCAATGGCATATTTCTTTCTTTTTTTTTTTTTTTTTTTGGTATGTGCCCTTAGCGGAACCGAACCCAGGACTCTCTGGTCTGCAGGCCAACGCTCCAACAGCTGAGCCAAACCAGTCAGGGCCCAATGGCATATTTCACAGAATTAAACCTAATAATCCAAAAAGTTATGTGGAACCACAAAAGAACCCAAATAGCCAAAGCAATCTTGAGAAAGAAGAACAAAGTTGGAGTATCACACTACCCGATAACAAACTATACTACAAGGCTTTGGTAATCAAAACAGCATGGTACTGGCATAAAAACAGACACTTAGATCAATGGAACAGAATAGAGAGCCCAGAAACCAACCCATATCTGTATAGTCAATTAATATTTGATAAAGGAGGCAAGAATATAGAAAGAGGTAAAGATAGATTGTGTTGGGAAAATTGGACAGATACATACATAGATATGAAACTAGACCACCTTTTTACATTATATATAAGAATAATCTCAAAATAAAGACTTAAATGTAAGACTCAAAACCATAAAATTCCTGGAAGAAAACATAAGCAGTAAAATCTTGGATATTTCTCTTAGCAATATTTTATCTAATATGTCTCCTCAAGCAAGGGAAACAAAAGAAAAAAAATAAACTAATAGGACTACATCAAACTAAAGAGTTTTTCACAGCCAAGAAAACCACCAACAAAACTAAAAGCAACCCACTGAATGGGAGAAAATATTCACCCATGGTATATCTAGTAAGGGGTTAATATCCAAA